GATTAAGGGGGGATATGATCAACATGTATAAATACATCAGGGGTTCATATAGTGAACTCTGTGTAGAGTTATTCACCCTGAGGTCATCACAGAGGACAAGGGGACACTCTTTACGTCTGGAGGAAAAGAAATTTAATCTCCAAACACGGAAAGGTTTCTTCACAGTGAGAGCTGTGAAAATGTGGAATAGACTCCCTCAAGAGTTGGTTCTGGCCAGCTCAGTGGATTGCTTCAAAAAAAGCCTGGATTCTTTCTTAGATACACAGAATATAACTGGATACTAACATTTATAGGTAAAGTTGATTCAGGGAATATCCAATTGCCTCTCGGGGGATCAGGAAGGAATTTTTTCCCCTGCAGGAGCAAATTGGATCACGCTTTGCTGGGTTTTTTAGCCTTCCTCTGGATCAACTGTGGGTATAGGATTACAACTTTTTTTTTTTAATGGTTGAACTGGATGGGATAACTATGTTAAGAACTATGAAATACTATAAAATGCACTCCCTCTGTGTAAGGGAAGATACGGCTCGTTGTCATGCTCAGAGAAGGATTCAATGGGACCATGGAAGACTACAGAGTTTGGTTCGGTTCAGGTAAGCGATGGGAATATCAGAGTTTAGCAGGAAATATGGCATTGAGAGGCAAGCCACTGTGCTAGCTTTGCAGTGGCTCACTTCTTACCAACTTCCCATGTAAATTGCATATTCTGCGGATGACGTGCTGGGAAGGACGGGGCAGGTTTACTCAAATCTCTGCTGGATTTATCACAGAGAGGCAAACAGTTTCAGGAAGTGTCGGAGAACTGTCAAATTCAACTAAGCAGGCAAACCATCCTTGGTAAAAGAAACCCCCAGAAGACTGCAGATTGTCTAGCTCAGATTAAACTTTCTAAGCTAGACAATTAGGCGCCGTTCACACCAATGTGTTTTCTAGTGCTTTTGGCAGAAATGCCCCAAAGTCCATTTAACATGGTTTCCTATGGAACATGTTCACATCTATGCTTTTGTGAGCTACTGCGCTTTTGGAAAGGGGCAGGGACCTTTTTAAAACCAAAAAGCAGCATTTTTGCTACAATAGAGTTCAATGGAGAAGCTGCTGAAATGCATTTTTGTTCTACCCTGCAACAAAAAAATTCCACTTTAAAAAAAAAAAAACCTGAACAAAACGCTGTAAAAACGTGTCACAAACGCGTGTAGAAAAACGCAAAACAAACTGCAAAAAAGCACTGAAGAAAGTCTCAAAACGCAAAATGCATATATGTGAACCAAGCCTTAGTGAGTCTGAAAGTTAATATAAAAAAATTAAAGATATTTAATATAGTAATCATGGGAAAATTTTGACTGGTATTCCACTTTAAGGCTAGCAGCGTAGTCCAGGGTAGGGACAGAGTGGCAGTGGAGTATTCCGGGGCAGGGACAGAGTAGCAGCAGAATAGTCCGGGAACAGGGATGGAGTAGTAGGGGGGCAGGTAAGGAGTAGCATAGGAATAGTACAGGAGCAGGGAAGGCATAGTGGAGGATTAGTACAGGGGGAGAATGGAGAAGAGAGAGTATGGGGGCAGGGAAGCAGTGGGGTCAGTCTAGGAGTAGTGGAGGGGGAAGATAAGTAGAGGGTTAGTATGGGGGGAGTAGCAGAGGAGTAGTATGGGGTCTAGGAAGGAGTAGCGGAAGATTAGTAGGGGGTCTAGGAAGGAGTAGCGGAAGATTAGTAGGGGGTCAGGGAAGGAGTAGCGGAGGATTAGTACAGGGGCAGGGAAGGAGTAGCGGAGGATTAGTACGGGGACAGGGAAAGATTGGCAGAGTTGTAAGGGGGGCAGGGAAGGCGTAGGGGAGGCAAAGAATGGGAGGCGAAGTATGAGGGCAGGGAAGGTGTAGGGGAGGCGAAGTATGAGGGCAGGGAAGGTGTAGGGGAGGCGAAGTATGAGGGCAGAGAAGGCAGAGCACAAGGGCAGAGAAGACGTAGGGGAGGAGTAGCACGGGGGGCAGGGATGGCGTAGCGGAGGAGTACCACGGGGACAAGAAAGGAGACAGGGAGGAATAGAACAGGGACACGGAAAGAGTGGCAGAGTACAACAGGGACACGGAAAGAGTGTCAGAGTAGTACACGGTGGGTACAGGGAAGGCGCAGCGGAGGGCAGTTGCACGGTGGGCAGGGAAGGCGCAGCGGAGGGAGTTGCACGGTGGGCAGGGAAGGCGCAGCGGAGGGGAGTTGCACGGTGGGCAGGGAAGGCGCAGCGGAGGGAGTTGCACGGTGGGCAGGGAAGGCGCAGCGGAGGGAGTTGCACGGTGGGCAGGGAAGGCGCAGCGGAGGGAGTTGCACGGTGGGCAGGGAAGGCGCAGCGGAGGGAGTTGCACGGTGGGCAGGGAAGGCGCAGCGGAGGGAGTTGCACGGTGGGCAGGGAAGGCGCAGCGGAGGGAGTTGCACGGTGGGCAGGGAAGGCGCAGCGGAGGGAGTTGCACGGTGGGCAGGGATAAGGCGCAGCGGAGGGAGTTGCACGGTGGGCAGGGAAGGCGCAGCGGAGGGAGTTGCACGGTGGGCAGGGAAGGCGCAGCGGAGGGAGTTGCACGGTGGGCAGGGAAGGCGCAGCGGAGGGAGTTGCACGGTGGGCAGGGAAGGCGCAGCGGAGGGAGTTGCACGGTGGGCAGGGAAGGCGCAGCGGAGGGAGTTGCACGGTGGGCAGGGAAGGCGCAGCGGAGGGAGTTGCACGGTGGGCAGGGAAGGCGCAGCGGAGGGAGTTGCACGGTGGGCAGGGAAGGCGCAGCGGAGAAGCAGTACTTGGGGCAGGAGTAGCAAGAGAAGAACGAGGGCAGGGAAGGAGTAGTGGACGTGTAGAAACAGGGAAAGGGAAGGAGTATGGAGAAGTTGTGCGGGGGCAGAGGAGAGACTGTACCTGGCAGCGTTGGAATGGGAGCAGGCAAAGAGGAATAGTGAGATCAGTCTTAGTACCAGCAGAGGAGGGGATGTACCTGGCAGTAAAGGGCTGGTATGGGGGGCAGGGGGGGAGTAGCGGAGGAGCAATGGGATCAGTATAGGTTGGAGTAGAGGAGGGGATGTACCTGGCAGTAGTGGGTTACTATGGGGGGGCCGGGAAAGAGGAGCAGAGGGTTCAGTCTAGGTAGGAGTAGAGGAGAGGATGTTCGCAAATTGGTATGGGGGGCAGGGAAGTAGGAGCAGTGGGGTCAGTCTAAGTAGAAGTAGAGGAGGTAAATGTACCTAGCAGTAAAGAACTGGTATGAGGGGCAGGGAGGGAATAGCCAAGGAGCACTGGGGTTAGTCTAGGTAGGAGTAGAGGAGGGGATATACCTGGCGGTAGAGGGTAAGTATAGGGTGGGCAGGGAAGGAGGAGGTGGGGTCAGTTTATGTAGTAGAGGAGGGAATGTACTTGGCAGTAGATGGTTGATATGGGGGACAGGAAGGGAGTAGCAGAGGAGCAGTGGGATCAGTTCAGGTTAGAGTAGAGGAGAAGATGTACCTGGCAGTAGAGGGTTGACATAAGGGGGGCAGGGAAGGAGGAGCAGTGGGGTCAGTCCAGGTAGGAATAGAAGAGGGGAATGTACCTGGCAGTAGAGGGTTGGTATGGGGGACAAGGAAGAAGGAGTAGTGGAGGAGCAGTGGGGTCAGTCTAGGTAACAGTAGATGAGGGGATGTACCTGGCAGTAGAGAATTGGTATGGTGGACAGGAAAGGAGTAGCAAAGCAACAATAGGGTCAGTCTAGGTAGGAGTAGAGGGCTGGTATAGGGGACAAGGAAGGAGTAGTGGAGGAGCAGTGGGGTCAGTCTAGGTAGAAGTAGAGGAGGAGATGTACCTGGCAGTAGAGGGTTGGTATGGGGGACAATGAAGGAGTAGCGGAGGAGCAGTGGGGTTAGTCTAGGTAGAGGAGGGAATGTACCTGGCAGTAGAGGGTTGGTATGGGGGACAAGGATGGAGTAGTGGAGGAGCAGTGGGGTCAGTCTAGGTAGAGGAGGGAATGTACCTGGCAGTAGAGGGTTGGTATGGGGGACAAGGAAGGAGTAGCGGAGGAGCAGTGGGGTCAGTCTAGGTAGAAGTAGAGGAGGAGACGTACCTGGCAGTAGAGGGTTGGTATGGGGGACAATGAAGGAGTAGCGGAGGAGCAGTGGGGTCAGTCTAGGTAGGGGTAGAAGGGATGTACCTGGCAGTAGAGGGTTGGTATGGGGGACAAGGATGGAGTAGTGGAGGAGCAGTAGGGTCAGTCTAGGTAGAGGAGGGAATGTACCTGGCAGTAGAGGGTTGGTATGGGGGACAAGGAAGGAGTAGCGGGGTCAGTCTAGGTAGGAGTAGAGGAAGAGATGTACCTGGCAGTAGAGGGTTGGTATGGGGGACAGGGAAGGAGTAGCGGAGGAGCAGTGGGGTCAGTCTAGGTCAGTGTTTCTCAACTCCAGTCCTCATGGACCCCCAACAGGTCATGTTTTCAGGATTTCCATTATTTTGCACAGGTGATTTGATCAGTTTCACTGCCTTAGTAATTACCACAGCTGTTTCATCTGAGGGAAATCCTGAAAACATGACCTGTTGGGGGTCCATGAGGACTGGAGTTGAGAAACACTGGTCTAGGTAGAGGTGGGAATGTACCTGGCAGTAGAGGGTTGGTATGGGGGACAGGGAAGGAGTAGCAGAGGAGCAGTGTGGTCAGTCTAGGTAGAGGAGGGAATGTACCTGGCAGTAGAGGGTTGGTATGGGGGACAGGGAAGGAGTAGCGGAGGAGCAGTGGGGTCAGTCTAGGTAGGGGTAGAGAAGGAGATGTACCTGGCAGTAGAGGGTTGGTATGGGGGACAAGGGAGGAGCAGTGTGGTCAGTCTAGGTAGGGGTAGAAGAGATGTACCTGGCAGTAGAGGGTTGGTATGGGGACAAGGAAGGAGCAGTGTGGTCAGTCTAGGTAGGGGTAGAAGAGATGTACCTGGCAGTAGAGGGTTGGTATGGGGACAGGGAAGCAGTAACAGAGGCGTAGTGGGGTCAGTCTGGGTATTGGAGGGGGATGTACCTGGCAGTAGAGCCGGTAGAGGGGTACAGCGGCGTAGGACATCCCCACCATGCCCACAGCGGCGGCGGTGACATAGGTCAGGACGGTTTTGTTCCGCTTCCTCCATCCCGTTTCTGGGCCCCGGCTCCTGTACCCACGGGAACCCCAAGACGCACACTGAGCCCGAAGCAGCCCCGGCCGGGGGCCCCTGCAGCACCCCAACCGCCATACTGACAGCATTGTGCCCTGGAAGGTCACCGGAGCCGGCCGCCACACATCTCGCGAGACTTGGTCTCCGCTCACTTTGGATTGGAGGAGGCTGGGCAGGCGGAGTGTATGTTGTACGTCATAGGTTAGCATTTCTCACTCTCTCTAGTTGGACTACAAGTACCAGCATAGTGTGGCAGTCCCCTGTGTGTCTTTCAGTTATCCGAGAAAAGACTCCAACCATACTGTTCTCTTATTATCAGACAGAGGAGGTTAGACTAGAAGGAATGACACAATGGAATGCCCATAGACTCTAACAGGGCAGTGGAAGGCCCATAGACGATAATGGAAGGGAATGTCCATAGAGAATAGGGGAGAAAACAAAATATAAACTATTTACAGGCACATGTGAAAACCAGCAATTTGACCTTTATCACAGGTGTTCCCCAAGCAGAGCAGCAGATTGTAAGATTGAGATTATTTGGGATTATAGCTGTGTTCTATGGAATGATGACAGAGAATGTCCACAGAGTATAATGAGAAGCAAACTGTGACTTGGAGTCAGAACCATTCAACATTTCCAATAAATCCTCTACTAATACATAGTCTACAAGTTCAATGGTGCTGATTAACCACTTTACATAGCCAAATGATGACTACAGCGCGGTTGTCCAGTTCTGGAGGGCATCACATGACGTCCTCCCAGAACCCACCCCCAGCAGTGCGCACCCGGTACTGTCTGTGATCGCTATGGACACAGCTGATCACATGACAAGGTAAAAGGCCAATTACAGCGGCCTTTTACCACTTGATCAGCTGTGTCCAATGACAATTTTCCTCATGGAAAGTACTGCCAATAACCGGCAAGTGTCACAGAGGACATCTGCACTGATAATCAGGGCACTGATTATCAGTGCAGCCCCAAAAGTGCTCATCGGTGTCCATCAGTCAGTGAAGTCATTCAGTGCTGCCAGTCAGTGCCCATCAGTGCTGCCCATCATTGCATCCCATCAGTGCCTCTTCATCAATTCCCACCAGTGCTGCCTCATCAGTGCTTCCTAGCAGTGCCCATCAGTGCTGCCTATCAGTGCCACCTCATGAGTGCCCATGAGAGCTGCCCATCATTGCATCCCATCAGTGCCTCCTCATCAATTCCCACCAGTGCTGCCTCATCAGTGAAGCCTATCAGTGCTCATCAGTGCTGCCTATCAGTGCCACCTCATGAGTGCCCATTAGTGCTGCCTATCAGTGCAGCCTTATCAGTGCTTCCTATCAGTGCTGCCTATAAGTGCCGCCTCATCAGTGCCTATTAGTGTTGCCCATCAGTGCACCCTCATCAACGCATATCAGTGAAGGAGAACATTTGCTAAATTGTATAATAGAAACAAATAAAAACTTTTTTTTCACATTTTTTGCTCTTTTTTTGTTTATAGTGCAAAAAATAAAAAAACCCAGTGGTGACTAAATACCACCATCAGTGCTGCTTATCAGTGCCCATCAGTGCTGCCTATCAGTGCCACCTCATCAGTCCCATCAGTGCTGCCTATCAATGCAGCCTCATCAGTGCAGCCCCATCAATGCACATCAGTGAAGGAGAAATTTTGTTATAATAGAAACAAAAACTTTTTTAAAAAATGTTTTGCTCCTTTTTTGTATATAGTGCAAAAAAAAAATGCTGTGGCGACTAAATACCACCAAAAGAAAGTTCTATTTGTGTGAAAAAAAAAATCATAAAAATTTCAGGGGTTAATCTGCAGACAGTGATGTTCCTTGCACAGGATTCAATCCTTCCATAACAGTACAGGCACTAAATGTGTCAATCAAGTTTAGATTGCAACAATGATAAGAGCACATAGTAAGAAGCAAGCTGAATCAGCCAAGTAGCATGTACTAGTGGGGGTTAGTCAGTTGAAAAGCATAAACCAGTTCCCACTACTTTTTTTTTCTGCATCCAAAATGCACAGAAAGTAGGTTATATGGTTGTCAAGGCTCCATTCACATCTGAGTGTAGCATTTTTCAGCGTTTTTAACGCAATGTTTTTCAAATATTTTGCCTCGATTTTTTGCGTGTTTTTAGCCGTTTTTGACCTTTTTTTGTTAGCCAATAGAGAAAAATATCATCTATTGCATCATTTGTTGCTAGGTTTTTCTGGTTTTTTTTTAGGTTTTTCATCAGCTTCTAGTTTGTTTTTTATTATTATTATTATTCATTTATTATTATTTTGTTTTTATTAGGGTAAGGGGTTAGAGTTAAGGTTAGGTTAGGGTTCGGATTAGGGGTTAGGATTTGGGTTGGGGTTAGTATTTTATTTTTTATTATTTATTTATTTTTTTATTTATAGCATTTTATTTAATTTTTATTTTTTTCTATTTATTTGCTAGGGTGATAATTGTGTTGTTTGTTATTTATTATTATTATTATTATTAATAATAATAATAATAATTATAATAATAATAATATTTCTTTGTTAAGGTTAGGGGTTAATTATTATTTATTTATCCCCAAGGAGCAGGGCCCTCCTATCCCTCTTGTATTGAACTGTATTGTTGCTGTATTATCTCCCGTTATATTGTAAAACACTGAGCAAATTGTTGGCGCTATATAAATCCTGTATAATAGTAATAGTAATAATTTATGATTTATTTTTCATTTTTTTTATTTATATGTGTATTTATTTTACTTTCATAATGTGAAGTGAAAAAATGCTGTGCTACATGAAACAATGGCACAATCCATAATATAACCAAAAAACAAAGTGAAAAATAAAAATATATATATATATTGGAAGAAAAATTAGTAGAAAAAATATTAATATTGAAATAAAAATATAAGATATATATATATATATATATATATATATATACAGTGAGGAACAGAAGTATTTGAACATCCTGCGATTTTGCATGTTATCCCACTTAGAAATCATGGAGGGGTCTGAAATTCACATTGTAGGTGCATTCCCACTCTGAGAGACAGAATTAAAAAACAAATTCAGGAAATCACATTGTATGATTTTTAAAGAATTTATTTGTCTTGCACTGCTGAACATAAGTATTTGAACACCTGAGAAAATCAGTGTTATATTTGGTACAGAAGCCTTTGTTTGCAATTACTGAGGTTAAACGTTTCCTGTAGTTGTTGCCCAGGTTTGCACACACTGCAACAGGGATTTTGGCCCACTCCTCCACACAGATCTCCTCTAGATCTGTCAGGTTTCGGGACTGTCGCTGAGCAACACAGAGTTTCAGCTCCCTCCAAAGATGTTCTATTTGATTTTGGTCTGGAGACTGGCTAGGCCACTCCAGAACCTTGATATGCCTCTTATGGAGCCACTCCTTGGTTATCTGGCAGCCCTTCCCCCTGATGGGACGGCCTGCTGATGTGTTTCCTGTTACTGGGGGTATTGCCCCGCCCTGTGTATATATCTTGTATCTGTGTTAAAATAAAGCAGTCCACTTCCTGTTTTAGTACAAGTCTGGTGTGTCTCCTCTTGTATGGTCAGCGGTGGTGTCCGTGGATCTGTGTTCTGCCAGGGACGCGGGAGTCTAACGGAAATACCCTAGTGCAGTCAGGGTCCGGTTCCATTACATATATAAACAATATATATGTATGAAAAACAAAAACCACACAAAAAATAAAATAAAAAATAAAGAATATTTTTAAGTATGAATCAAACAAAAGCAATTAAAAAAATCAAGTTCAATCAATAAAGTATTTTTCAGTGAACCCTCCTTAGGATAACGAAAAAAATATGTGCATCTGTCATCAATTCCCGTGCAAAGACATCCTCCACCATATATCTGCTCACCTCATGCAGTGTGACCTCACATTATATAATGTTACGGTCTTACTGCACTTTTGGTCCCATATGGACTCAGAAGATCAGCTTTCTGAATGAGGACTCCAAAGTAAGCTCCCTCCTGATAAGCGTCTTTGTATCAGCCGTATTCCTCATTAAAAAGAACTCAGCATAGTTTTAAACTTTTATTCATCAATTAAACATAAGAAATACACTCATGTTCCGGAAGTGTATTTTGCACCAGGTATGATGAAGATCCAGTGATGTACTGATTAGACACAAGATGGCAGTATTATCTCAGCAGCAGAGTCCTGTACATGCTCAAAACAGACACCATCCGTAATGTAGTGCAAGGCAAAGCACGGGCCCACTTAATGAATGCTATTACCTGCTGTAATGTCATTCCAAGAGCACTTTGTAGAGTACTACAAGCCGCTATCCCGATGAATGGCAGCGTCGTTACGTCATCCGCACACCCCCCCCCGACGTGTTTTGTCCCCAATCACGTGACTTTATCAAGGGGATATCTCGTCACTAGTGACAAAACGCATTGGGTAGGAGTGTGCAGATGACAAATAGGGCCCCATCGTTGGTGTCAGTGGGAGGAATAGGGCCCTATTGTTGGTGTCAGTGGGAAGAATAGTGCCCCATCATTGGTGTCAGTGGGAGGAATATTGCTCCATCGTTAGTGTCAGTGGGAGGAATAGTGTCCCATTGTTGGTGTCAGTGAGAGGAATTATACCCCATTGTTGATGTCAGTGGGAGGAATGATGCCCCATTGTTGGTGTCAGTTGGAGAAATTATTCCCCATTGTTGGTGTTATTGGGAAATTATACCCCATTGTTGGTGTCAGTGGGATAAATTATGCCCCATTGTTGGTGTCACTGGGAGGAATTATGCCCCATTGTTGGTGTCAGTAGGAGGAATTATGCTCCATGGTTGGTGTCACTGGGAGGAATTATGCCCCATTGTTGGTGTCTGTGGGAGGAATTATGCCCCATTGTTGGTGTCGGTGGGATAAATTATGCCCCATTGTTGGTGTCATTGGGAGGAACTATGCCCCATTGTTGGTGTCAGTAGGAGGAATTATGCCCCATGGTTGGTGTCACTGGGAGGAATTATGCCCCATTTTTGGTGTCGGTGGGAGGAATTATGCCCCATTGTCGGTGTCGGTGGGAGGAATTATGCCCCATTGTCGGTGTCGGTGTGAGAAATGATGCCCCATTGTTGGTG